GCTACTTGGACTGGTACCGGCCTACCTCTAGCCTACCGCTACTGGGCCTCTAAAAATGCCAACTTTTTGTCTTCTTCTGCTCGGCCTACCTGCTACTTGAGTGTTTTTCCCCAGCTGCTCTAAGTGCCGTGGGCCTACCCCCGCTACCTGCGTGTTAACCCCCCCTGCAACCCTTCAAAATCACGGCCACAGGTAAGTACCGGCCCTGCGGGGCCTTGCAACCAACAGGTACCCTTACGGGTCACACACACACTCGACCGTCAAGCACTCAGACAGGCAAGCAAACGGGCAGGCATGCACACACACACAGACTTGGAAAACACAGCAGAATGGGGGAATCACGGCAAGGCATTCATTCCAGTGGCAAATCCCAGAAATCAGCAGTGTTCTCAGTCTGTGCTTAGGCGGGTCATTACACCGATGCTGAATAGATGAACGTTTAATATTTTGGTGCATCGCCGTAACTGTTCTGGAATGAGCGCAGGGCTAGAGACTTCAGTCCAGTGGCCAGCTCTTGGTTCCTTTACTCATTACTGTGGACCTAGGGTTCGACCCTAGGTAAGCCCACCAGCTGAGCAGGTTTTGCAGATGGGCTAGAGACTTCAGTCCAGTGTCCAGCTCTTGGTTCCTTGACTCGTTACTGTGGACCTAGGGTTCGACGCTAGGTAAGCCCACCAGCGGAGCTTTTTGCTTTGTTTGCACAGGGCTAGAGACTTGAGAGTAAAGGAACCAGCTGAGCAGGTGTTGCAGATGGGCTACCTAGGGTAGTATTGGAAAGACAGCAGAGGGAACTTTGCTTTGTTTGCAGCAGATGAGATGTGGCCGAATATGAGAGAGGAAAACAACATAAAAAAAAATGAGGTGATGGGAAAAAAAAAAAAGGGAACCGGAAAACGGGGGGAGAAAAAAGTGGGAAAAGGAAAAATGAAAGGGTGATGGAAATAAATCGAACAAGAAAAAAGGTAGAATAATATAGAAGAAACATCCTCTTAGATTCCTCTCACTTTTTTTTTTTTTGCTTAAAAAAAAAAAAAAAGAATCCTTTCTTTTTTTTTATTGTTTGACTTGGGGTGAATAATGAACGGATCGTGACTGGATGCGCACTCTTCCGCTTACGTCCGTGTTCTTTGTGAATGGAGTTCAATGGACCATCATCGCCTGGCTATATGTCTGGTACGAACCTTGTGCTTGTTGTGTCCTGTGCCTGTCTCTTATACACATCTAGATGTGTATAAGAGACAGGTGGTGAGGTGTGTGGGTGCTCCGGGGGGGGTGGGGTTGGGTGTTGTTTATGGTCTGGGGTGGGAGGCTGGATGGCTGTGCAGTATTGGTTGCAATATCAAGTGGACGCCTGGGCAAGAGCCCGATTACTTCAAGTCTTGATTTGCGGCTGCTGTTGTTTTCGAGGAAGTGCCATATAGGCACCTCCGCCTCTTGCTCCATCAAGTACGGTGGTAAGTTTCATTCGTTGATCGGCTCGTCGACAAAGGTTTCCTATCGGCTCGTCGACAAGGTTTCCTGACCTCCCTCTCCCTCCCTCTCCCTCCCTCTCCCTCCCTCTCCCTCCCTCTCCCTCTCTCTCTCTCTCTCAGGGGAAGGGTGCAGCATCAACTGCTGCGGCCAGTTTGATACTTCCATCCGCTAGTCGGCAAGGTTGTGCCCACTGCTCGCGGTAGGATGAGGGCAGCAAATCACCTTGGTGTCCAATGGAGGTCTCTTTTGGCAGCAACGTTGGGAGGTTGACGGCGGAACCACAGTCACTGTGTTTTCATAGGCCCTCCGCTCGTCGGCAAGGTTATGCATTCTTTGATGATACGCTCGTCAGCAAGATTGTCAGAACTTCTCTCCGCAAGGGGAAAGGCGGCAATCACTTTCGTGTGATGGAGACGTCTGTGGTGCCAATTGGGAGGTTGATGGATGAACATATAGTCCAGCATGTCCCCCTCGTCCGGGAACTGCCAAGTTGTCCCATCTTCCCTGGGTTTTGGGACCCATTGGTTCCTTGGAACCGTTAAAGCTGGGAATCCAATGTGAGACCATTGAATGAGATTAGGTCAGTAGCGATCTTCATTCTTATTCAGTGCTGCGAGTAGTAGTTTGTTTTGCGGGCAAGGTTGTGCCTGTCTCTCTGAGGGAAACATTCCAATTGATATTTCGCATGGAGTCCCCTACGGTGGAGTTGGAGGAGGAGGATGGGTGAACAGCGTTATCACCGGTCACATTATGTCCTCCTCATCTTCCTCGTCTTACGGTCTTGGCTTTGTATGCCTGTTTAGGATGTCAGACATGGAATTATCCGATACTAGTGTATGTTTTCGTACGAAGCAGGAAAGACTCTAAAGTGCACTTTAGAGTCTTCTTTGGACATAAACTCCACCACACAGAAGGAAAAAGGACAAGAAAGACCACCGCAACGCATGTGAATCGTTTTCTACTGCAGAGAAAAGTTGTACGAGCACGAACATATGATATACATACATATAATAATATATATATGTATATATGTATATATATATATATGTTTGTCCTCCTACCGGTAGGGATTTGTAATAACTGAGCGCGTCGGCTGTTGGTTGCGAATGGGAGAGGAGCCCATTAAATTTGTCTTTTTGTTCGTTACCTGACTTTATCCAGGATGAATCATTAAGTGTTGATTTCCCCTTTATTTGAAACATGGAGATTGATGGTGATGGTTCCATTGTCAAGTCATCGTGCAGGATGAATGAGAAAGGAGATGCACGAAACAAAAAAAAAAGGAAAAAAAAGAAAGAGGAAGGAGGTGCACTGCTGCAGTTTGTATGACAATTTACAAAAAAAGAAAGTAATGAGAGGTTGGATTGATGGTGTAGCCTTGCGCAAGGCGAAGGCTGCTAGCAAGCACAGTGCAAAGAAGTTGCACAAGGCATAGCCCCTGCCGCTGCCGACTTGCGAGGGCTGATTCTGCAAGCAGCAGAAGATGTCAGTTGTCCCTTGTCAGGTCTGCAATGCTGCTGCCGACTTGTCAGGGCCCTGCTGCTGCCGACTTGTCAGGGCTGATTGAACAGGCTGGTTTACAGCTGCCAGGTGAGGAGGCGGAGGCTGGGCCCATGGCACTGAAAGTGGGACTTGGGAGGGACCAAGGTTGTGCCAGGTATGGGATTGGGTCCTAAGATGGGACCAGGCATGGCAGGAACATTATAGTATCGGAATTTCGGAAAACAATTAGCGGGACGTTCTTTCGACTTTTCTGGAATCTGGATGGATCCTAAGGTGCTTGAGTTGATAGATGGGATGAAGGGAGGGAGGAAGGGGGATGAAGACAGGGATTTGTATGTCTCTGGAGGCAGGGGGGGGGAGGGGAGCGGTAGGTTTTTCGTTGTACTAGGGCAATAACAATGCTGGATCCTAAAGGTGCTTGAGTGGATAGAACATAGATGGGACGAAGGGAGGGAGGAAGGGGGAGGAAGACAGGGATTTGTCTGTCTCTGGAGGCAGGGGGGGGGAGGGGAGCGGTAGGTTTTTCGGTGTATTCGGGGCGGGGAAAAACAATGCTCGTTTATCGTTGACAGTGTTGAGTGGAAGATTCCAGAAGGGAGGGTTTAGTGGGATGCGCTTCTAAGTGCAACGTTTTGAGAGGTTGTGGGGTTACAAGGAAGATTAAAGGAAAGATTCAATAGAGTCACAGAGTTGAAGGCGTAGGAGGAAGAAGGAATGGAATTTGATTGTTTACAGATAGGACATAATCAGCAGTGAATTTGTCACACATTTGTGAAAATGGCAAAATGCACTTTTCTTGGAGCTTATACTCTGCACGGCAGAATTGAAAAGCAAAATAATTTCATTCTGTCTGCGGTTAGAGAGTCTTCAGCATGTACTCTATGTTCACGTTACAAGCCCTGTCCAGAAACCAGCAGTGACCAGCTATCGGATTCTGCTTGGAAGGGTCTCTCTCTCTCTCTCTCTCTCTCTCTCTCTCTCTCTCTCCCCCTCCCTCCCTCTCTCTCTCTCTCTCTCTCTCTCTCTCTCTCTCTC